GAGCATCCATAGTGTGCAAAGCCTGTACTAAGTGATTCAAAATAACAGGTTGCCTAGTTACCATAAAATAGAAATATTCCCCTGTGAAGGTTAAAATTAAATGAAAAGCAGACAAGAAAACATTTTCTTTGATGGCATCTGACTATTTCATCAGGGCTTTTTCTGCCATTACAGCCATTTTCTTTTAAAGATAATGGTCATTCATTCATTCACTCATTTGATTATTCATTTATGTATGCCACTGAGTCACCGCTGTGATTATATGCGGTTCTTTTTTCCTGATACAATAAGGGGGAAATATGATTCAATATTGACTGCATAAACATGAGTCTCAGACAGAAAATTACCAAGGAAGGAGTGGACTTCTGTTGTTCTTTTATTTAATGAGCCTAATACTGGAGCAATAGCATGCCTTACTCTGTGTAAACTCTGCATTAGTTAAGATGCTCCTTGGGAAGAGCATCCCTCATTTTCTGGTTGGACTGCAAAATGTTGTTGAATATAGCCTCGCTAATAAGGTGCCTCATATTTAAATTAAACCAGTGGAAATGCTGGATTTTCCCCCCTTGTGCTCAGGATGAGATATGTTTTGTACTAGCGCATCCAAGTTAATACATGGGACAGCCCTCAGAAAGGAAACTAAGATGAATACTTAACTGTGATTTTCTGAGAAACTACATATTCTATAGCTATGAATGACACTGCAAGTCACAGCCAAGACCCTCAAGCTGCTTAGCTCTGAGATAAGCAGGCCAGGCATCCTCATTCACCCCTCCCTTCTGTGTAGTATTGAGTTTCTGTGCTCAGTTTTGGCCTCCATATTTGTTCCCTTGAGCTCCTGTAACAGAGTACTCCCAAATAGGTATCTTAACAGAAATGTATTATCTCACAGTTCTGGAGGCCAGGTGCCTGAAATCGAGGTTTTGGCAGGGTTGGTGGCTCCTGAGAGCTGTGAGAGAGGCTTTGTTCTAAGCTCTCTCCCTGGCTTTCAGATGTATCTCTCCACATCATCTTTTCTCTTTGCATATCGCCTGTGTACAAATCTCCCCCTTTTTATAAGGTCACCAGTCATGTTGGATTAGGGCTCATCTAATGACTCTGCTTCAACTTAATTATCTCTATAAAGACCCTCTCTCCAAATGCGCTAAATAAGGTCACATTTTGAGGTACTAGACTTTAGGATTTCATAAAAAGGGGAGGGGAGGGGAGCAGTCTCTCTCCAGTAAAGATCTGATCATCCCTTCATCATATCTCTTTCCTAACTCTTCCCTTCTTCCCTCCTCTCTCTTTCTCTCTCTCTCTCTCTCTCTCTCTCTCTCTCTCTCTCTCTCTCTCTCTCTCTCTCTCTTTCTTTCTCTCTTTCCTCTTCCCTCCCCACCCCCCATCTCTCTTTCTCTCTTCCCTTCAGAATCCAGTTCCAGTGTGTGTAGAAATCCCCATTTTCTCTGTAAGCCTATGCCATTTTATCTAACACAACTAACCAAGAACTAAAAACACGTTCCCTAACATGTAGCATTTTAGTTCCTTTGGCTACTTATTTCACAGATGTCGGAATCCCTAAGGCAGGAAGGGATGAGCTTCACTCTCAGCTGTGTCCCCCTTCCCTCAGGGCTGCCACTGCATCTGTCCTGGACTCCACCATTTCTTGCTGAGACTGCACGTTGATCTCCTCATTAATCCTCCTGCCTCTAGCCTCATCTCTGTCTAATAGATTCTTCACATTGCTTCCAGAGAGTCATTTTAAAACAAAATCCTATCAGGTCACATCCCCACTTATAGTCTGTCAGTGATTTACTCCTGCCATGAGGTAAAACCCAAACTTCTGCACACTACTCTTGTTATCATTTTCCCTAAGAGCATTCCCTAGCCTGGGGGGCCATACAAGTCCCACTCATCCACCCAACTCTTCTTTAAGGCTCAGATCACTCCTACCCTCCTATGAAAACCTCATGTTCATCTCTCCCATTGCACCTCTTACCCACAATTTTAACACATTCTTAGCTCCTAACGATCAAGATTTGTACCTTTCACTCTGTTTCCTCTGCAACATGTAGCGCAATATGTAGAACACAAGAGACAACTCAATAAATGCACATTGAGTGGATGAGGAACTGCAGGGTGATTACTTAACCAGTTCCATTTGAGTGCCTTTAAAAGACTCAGATGCATCAAGAGGTGTCTCCGCATCCAAAAGTCCTACTTTCAGTCAATAAAGGACTTAGTAACAAAGGAAAAATATCCGTAACTCCCGGAGAAGTCAGTAATTCCCTAATAGGTCAGTAACTTCCCTGAGTTCATCAGCTTGGTTAGTTGGCCTTGAGAATACAAAGAAAAACTAAGGAAGAGGCCTAGCAAAGTGAGAGACTTGGAAGTAACTGGATCCATGCAAAACCTAAGCTACAGGTTAATGGAATCAAAGAGGAAGATGACACAACTTGCGTTCCCATCAGCCAGAAGACAGTTATGCCAATGCTCTCTTCACCCTGCTGTGGTTCTCATGGAGGCAAATTCTGTGGATTTCCAGATAAGGTTCCAGAAACTGCTCTGACTTATATTCATCCCTATTCCTAACATTAAAAAGAAAATTTCTTCCATCCTAATACTGGATTCCCTCACCCCTTGAATTCTTAGTCACAACCCAAAGGTTACTCTAGGCACTGTGGGCCAGTCTCATTTCAACATCTGAAAAAGCCACTGGACTGTGACCAATAATTATGAATTAAGCCTGGGTCAGATGAGCAAACTGACTTCTTTTATACTGAATCCAGATGATTGAACACAATTGAGGAAAATAATATTCATGCAAATCAATTCTTATCCCACTCAGTTACTGTGGGATTTGTATTCTCCAAATGTGGCTACAAGAACATATTCTTATAATATAACTTTATTTTTAATATATTGTTTTATTGATTTCAGAGAAGAAGGGAGAGGGAGAGAGTAAAACATCAAGAAGAGAGAATCATTGATCAACTGCCTCCTGCAATCCCTCTACTGGGGATTGAGCCCGCAACCAAGGCATGTGCCCTGATTGGGAGTCGAACTGTAACCTCCTGGTTCATTGGTCGACGTTCAATCACTGAGCGACACTAGCCATGCTCTTATGATGTAACTTTAGTAACACATTTCCTTAAAGGGTTGGGGAAGATTAAATTTTCTCCACTTAAATAAAGGCAGCCTCTTTACTATAATGAAATTTATGTCTTCTGAGGCTAAGTCATAAAATGTAGTACCTAGAGCTCTGCCTCCTTCTATGCTTGCTCTTAGAATCCCATCACATACCAGGAGGAAGTCCAAGTTGGCCATGTCAGCCATATGAATAAGGACTGACCTTGTGACTGGAAGCTCCTGACCGCAGCAACATTGCCGCAGTTGCTCTCACTTGGAGCAGAAAGAAGTTACCCCTGCAGGGCCCTATCCAAATTGCAGATTTATAAGAAAAATAAATGACTGTTGTTTTAACTCACTAAGTGTTGAGGTAGCTTATTATGGAGCAATCAATAATAAGAACATATTGCAGTACTTGGAAATGGGGTGCTTCTATATCAAAATGTGGGTGGCATTCACTTGGTGATTAGGCAGCAGGACAAGCTGGAAGGGCCTCCAGTGAGTAACTGTGAAAAGCTAACTGGTCTTTGGGAGAGGATTCATAGACGCCCAAAGCACTCCAAGGAAACTGTTGGTAAAGCTCAAAGGACAGAAAATGCAATTGGAAGCTCAAGACAAGGATTCATGCGTCATGTCATAGTAGAAAGTTTGGCAACATTGACATCTGCGGTAGCATGGAAAATAGCAACTAAACCAAATGAACTCTGTGATCTAGCTAAGGAGATTTCCAGGCAGAATATTTAAAGCAGAACTTAGCTTCTGGCTTCCTGTGATAAAATTCAGAGAACTGCAGAGTGGCCTGCAAAATTCAAAGAAGCCAGGAATTTCTGGGTATAAAAACAAAATTGGCTTCTGATTTCCAGCAGCTCCACATGGCAAAGTAATAATAAATAATTGATAATAATAATAATAATAATAATAATATCTCAAATTAAGAAGGCCAATGATCAAATCTGAATGGGACTACAAAATCATTCCTTAACACCTAAGCAAGATCTCAGGAAGAGCCACACAGAAACTTTAAGCCAAACAGAAAGGCTCTTTAAGGACTTTTAAGGGCATACTTCATAGATCCTCTCGGTTCAATAATAGGACTTCTGAGAATCTTAAGGTCATTGTCTCACAAAAGTCACCCAATATTCAGAAGAGCTTATCTGGAATATAAGCTTTTGTCTAATGGGGTGTAATATAAATTGAAACACAAAATGTCTATGAAGTTTTAAAAGAAATTATATCAGCTTGACCTGCAAGGAACAGAGATAGTACACAATGAACAGAGCTCTTTGACTGCTCAAATTTTAAAGGCAAGAAACTGGAGAGAAAGACACTCGGCTGTAAATATGGGTTGCTTTTTATGAAAAAGGAAGAATGACTCAGAGGCTGGAACCTAGAGCCCCAGAGAACAATTCCTATGATTGACCCTTAATCAAGGAACTGTGTCTGATTAGCTTTATAATAGCCGCAGGCTGTGACTGCTGTGGGCCCTGTTTTCCCTGTGTCTGAATACGAATGTCAATTGTTGCCTTCCTACACTTGCTCCACTATCATAAATGAGGTGTGTGAGAGAGGAGTCTGATAAATTGTCTCTTTAGTTCACAGGTCATCACTGCCAGAGCAAAAGTAATCAAGGATCTGTATGGTAAGAACAGTCCCACAGAGAGTCAAGCACCTAGGCAGTGTCATTCCTATGAGACCTCCTGCCAGGAAGTTAAGAGACCAGAACTTACTTCAAAATGCAAACAAAACAAAACAAAACAAAACAAAAAAGAAACAGATTATCATGATTCTATTGGGGAATTTCCATGTTGAAAATATTATAGGAAATCAAAATCTGAATGACACATCCTCACATACACAAGCACGCAGATGGAACTGTGAGTAAGACACGTTACCAGTTCTTGGGGAAGGGGCTCTAGCAATTTCTAAGGAGCAGGGTTTCTTTGTAACCGCTGTGTCTGCAAGATCACAGAGAAAGTTCTCGTTTTCTGAAGGAAACGTATCCAGAGAAGCAGATGGTACAATTTCCATAGTGTAATTCCTCTTCTTTGGATAGGATTCCTGAAAGGAAGGAGAAAACATAAAAATAGCTTTGTGATAAAGACACAGCCTGTTTAATGTACAAAGCTAGGAAAGATAATCGGGCTCATCAGTTCTCCCACAAGTGATTGACAGGGTATGATTCATCTGTTTGAATAAGTTATGCCATCATGTTACTCCAGTATTATCAGCCATCATTTTAGAAGGGTCTTTGCAATTTGGTTCCCCTGAATTTATGACTGAACTAGTGGAGGTCAGAATCTCTTGTGATGAAATCTCTTTATAATATATGTCTATTTTCTAGCTGTGGTCTAAACTGTTGTTTTAATGAACAGTCCTTCCCAAGACTCTACTCCTTTGCCTGCTTCCTTGAGACAGGCATGAGACTCCATTTTGGTCAGTTGGATACAAGGGGAAATTTGCTGGAAGGGTTCTGAAAAATTATCTTCCCCAGAGAAAAGAAATGCAAGGAGGCCACTTCAGAGCCTCAGCCCTCAAGTTCCTCTGTCTGGATGCAGTTTTGATGCCTGGTGCTAGGGCAGGGACATTGTAACCATAAGGCAATAAGCCCAAAGTCAAAAAGGTAACAGGTCAAGAACAGCAACAGAAGGATAAAAAGAGTGTGGGACCTTAATGACATCATTGAGCTACTCAAGTAGCCCTGGAGCCAGGTTCCCCATGCTTCTGAAGCTCCTCCTACTTGAGCCATTGCAATTTGGGTTTTCTGCCCTTTCGAGGTAAAAGTATTCCCACTTAACACACTAGTATTTTTCTTCACTAATATACAAAAATCACTCATTGCAAGTTAGAATAAAATTAAGGTCCAATTCTATATTACTGTTTCTTCACTATATTCTAAAGTTTAGAATTTATTTCATTTCACAAGATCTTAGTTTCTTGGATAGGCATTAACTGAGCAACAAATATTTACTGGGCATCATCACATATAGCTAGGACTATGTTAGTCACTGAAGATTTTTTTATAACTAATAAGAAATAATCCTTGCCCTCAGAAAGGTCAAAATTTACTAGAGGAAAATAAAACCAGATTATCTACATTGTGAGTTTAACCATTAACCATGTTTTGTTTTTGATAACTGTTACCTTTATAGAGTAATAATTCACACCAAATGAAAAAGACAAATAAGAAAAATACAAACTAATTTCAAAAAAAAATTTCCAAGACATATCCAAGGGTTGGTAAAGATGTAGCACCAGCTCCTATTTTCCCCCCTGTAATATTTACAGTACAGAGAGTAAGTAGTCAAGGTCACTGCAATTGCTTTCGGACCATACCAGATCCTCACACATCAAAGAGTCAATTATGTTCACTCTACTCTATTGAAAGCAGGAAATTGGGAGTAATTTATTTTTAACAACAAAGGGTGACAAAACAGAGAGCGTCCAGGGGAAAGCAATCAGGGTGGCATATGATTTAAAAACCATGTTACAGAAGATATGATGAAAGAGCTGCAGCGTTCCAAGCCAGAGGAGCCTGACAGCAGGGCGACAGTGCTCTCAGCACATCTGAAAGGCTTCCCCTCAAGAACTGCCCACACAGTGGGGAAGGGGACAGGCTGCTGTGGTAGATTTATTCTAACATTCTTAAAGGCAGAATAGTCCAGTCGGTGTGGCTCAGTGGTTGAGAGTCGACCAATGAACCAGGAGGTCAGAGTTCGATTCCAGATCAGGGCACACACCTGGATTATAGGTTTGATCCCCAGTAGGGGGAAGGCAGCCACAAGATGATTCTCTCTCATCATTGATGTTTCTATCTCTCTCTCTCCTTCCCCTTCCTCTTTCTAAATAAAAACTTTTTTTTTAAAGACAGAACAATAATGGATATTTACAAGTCAAGGAGGGCAAATTTGGGTCACTACAAAAAGGAATTTTCTATGAGTTGATAATACTGCTTATCTTTTGGTTAAGTTGGAATACTGTGTTTACTAGTATAAAGAATTAAAGCACTTTAATGGCCTTGAAAAATACTCTAAAATCTAACCAAGTGGAATGAGTTAATTTGCTTTCCTCTCAAAGAGAAAGGACATACACTTATTAGAGAAATATTAAAAACCATAAAGAAGAGAGAAAAAATCACATTGTACCCAGCATGCTCAGATAATTAACAGTAACATTTTGGTGGTGATGCATTCTGACTGCTTCCCTCTGTAAATGTGTGTGTAAACATGTGGCTGCTTGCAAAAGAGAAAACAAAAATTTTAAACAATAACAAAGTGCTTCCTAAGGAAGGACCATCATTTCTCAGTGGAATAAACGATTTCTTTGTGGAAAGTGAGAGCCCTAAGGAAGGAGATGGCAAAACAAAAATAGGGAAAATTATGCTTTTTATAATCATATTGTCAGGAAAGAAGAGCATTCAACAAAATATCTGACAAGTATCTCCCAACAGAGGATGGGTATGTGAGATGATTAAAATTGCATGTGGCGACTACTCCGTTTAAGCGAAAGAATATACCATCGGAGCTCTCCCTCTTCCCCCATTTTCATCCCACCCAACCCTCCTCAACCAATGCTAAATCCTGTTCTGAACTTTGTAATGCCCTGAATTGTTGTTAAAATTTAAACTTGGATTTTGATTTACAGGTTAAGTGCCCATGTACTCGTGATGGTATATCCTGGTAACAGACCAGAGGAATTAAAAGAACTGGCTCAACAATTTGTGACTCACCTTCAAGGTTCCATTGTACGTCACCTAGCAAAAGTGGGCTCTAATCTAGAGAGCAGTTTGCTTTCTCCTTGGTAGTTAGACTGCATTTTTATTCTAATGCCCAGTTCCAGGATCCCAAATGTGTTTCTGTGCTTGCTTTGTTTTAATAGCAGCATGCCTAAGACTGTGTTCTCTGACTGATATTTGTCAGCTCTCTTCTGAGGGACAAAGAATCCTTTCCCTTAATCCTAACCAGGTCCCTAAGGCCCCTGAATTCCTAACTTCACAGCTCTATGTCTGAGTGTGAATCTATAATGCCTAGACTTACTTAGTTGACTTCATCCTACCTGCTACAGTTGATTGCACAATGTGCAGATCAAATAGTACTTCTTCAAAAAGACACATACTGAAAATACCGAGTGAACATGTTCCCCCAAGAAAAAAATGAACAATTAGCCTTTAAAAGTCTACAAAGTATATTTTCATAGGTTGCTTAAACTGTGTTCCTACAAAAGTTTAAAATCATCAGTGGTAGACCAAATCAAAGTTTCTTAGTGACTAAAATAAGGTCATATTATCCAGTACATAAATGAGTTACAAAAATTCAGAAATGAGTTATAAAAATTCAATTGTTCTCTAAGGGGGTATAAATATAGAATAGCAATACCATGAAAAAACTTAGTAGTTATAATTTACAGAATGAGTCAGAGTGTAATATACCAGTTAAAGACATAATATGTCATTGGCTGATTTAATACAAATATGATATTTGGACTAGAGACAGTGACAACCCTCTCTTCCTCTGTGCTAATTAGAATTGGGAATGATGTGAGTTAGTAATTTCATTAAAGATAGATTAGCAGTATTATATTGGCTCTCCGACTTAAACACCTTGGCAACAACCAGGGTCCCAGGTATGGATGCAGCTGTTTCTCAAACGTACCATAGATGCAGCTTTTATCAGAAATAAGGTGACTTGGTGGCTTTTCTAGATGACTTTGACAAGGCATCTCCAAGAACTTGCCTCTAAAGCAGCTCTATTCTTAACCACATGGAGGAAAGTGAAACTGCTAAACCTACACAGCAGGGAGACCACACTTGGACACTCAGCTGGCAGGTACTGGGGCCCACATTTCAGGAGGTGCAAAGACCAAATGCACTATTTCCGCTGGACGTGGATAAGGAAAGTGTTGAGTGTCAAACCCATGTCATGTGAGAAAAGATTGCAGAAAGGGTGCACGGATACATGTATCACAAGTACTTGAAAAGCAGAAGGGTGATGCTAATTGTTCTCTAAAGGGGTATAAATGTGCAAGTGGAGAGATGGTAACAAGAAGACGATTTCAACTCAAGATGAGCTTTCTAAAAATTAGAGCTTCCAGGTGCGAAACTGGCTGCTTAGCAGAGAGCAAGTTCTCTGTCCCTAGAAGTCTTGAAGCTCAATATGATCAACACAAGACATGTCGTGAGAACAGAAGATGGTGGTTTGACTGAAATGAGCTTAAGATGGTAATTAAATGAGAAGATGGAAGTATGTGTCAGCATAAGCTAAAAGCTACCTGCATACTTTTGCTGCTTCCTGAATTTCTTTTTCTGATAATGAGAAAAGTAATACCAGCACAAGGAAGTATGGGTTGATGACTCTCTCAAAGTTAGTGATGACTCACAATTTCAAGTGACTCAAAACAGGTGAAAGCTTTTGGAAGTGGTCTAAATGCTCTGACATGTCCTTCAATATCAAGAAATTATACCCTGAAGACTTACAATGACATTTAAATAGGAAGATTGTTCTATAAATGTGAAATACTAAGAAAAATAAGGAAATTATAAGGAGAGTCCTTAAGTGGGTGGGAAGAGATCATCCTGGATTATCCATTTATAAGTGAAGGAGAAAAGGAGAGTCAGTGTCAGAGTGATAAGGCATGAGAGACTTGACTGGCAATGGCTGGCTTTGAGGATGGAAGGAGTACAGCTCACAGAAGCTAGAAAAGGCAAGAAAATTAATTCTTCCCTAACGTCTCCATGAAAAAATGCAGCCCCACAAACAGCCCTATACACACCATGAATTTAGCTTAGTGGGACCCATCCTGTACTCCTAGACTATAAATTAATAAAGTTATGTTTTTTAAGCCACTAAGTGTGTGGTAATTAGTTACTGCACAATAGAAAACTGACAGGGTAATACCAGAAAAAGGTACCACTTAGGGAGGCAACAGAAACTACTTTACAGTTCTGGTTATGCATCTGGTTATCCCTCAGTAGAGGCTGAATGGGGGACATGAAAATTGGAGTCCAATGGAAAATTTGTTATATTATGATATGATTCAATATTTTTTAAAAATAGTGATTTTTT